TCTGCGTTCGAACCTGGTCACCGCAATAGCAGGACCAAGAACCATCCCGCTCCATTCGATTTGTGGAAATTTAAAAAATATCAAACATTAAATAATGAATTTTGAAATATATTCAGTAGAAAAAATAGCGGTGTATATGTGGTTATGAGATTTATTTGATGAAACAATATCTTCAAATTAATTCTGGAATATAACATAAATGCAAAATAAAGAAAACCTTGAAATGATCATATTCATCGGAGTACCATTTACCACTGATAAGAATTTCAAATCTCAACCTATAATCAGCCGATGCCGTTAACTGGTGCATCTTCTCCAAGCCCAACCAGAAGTTTCTGTAGTAGATTCCAAATCCGGACTGCAGAAAATAACATTTTTAGCACGAGAAGTTTAAATCATATCCAGCGCATACCTTGTACGTGCTCCAAGTTCGGTTGAAACTCTGCGAGCCATCAATCCTCTGCTGAATGACAATCCATCCATTGACATACGTGACAGGAGTTGAGTTGGCAAACGTTGGAATGTCCAACAAAACTGTTTCGTTAACAGCGCTGTAGGCTGTTTCGAATTATAAATAAAAATATTTTTATTTGGGTGAAATAAAATGTTCTCGTCATTAAATGCTACAATTCTTAAGAAATATATCTGACAAATTATAACCAATGATTCTTATGAATGATATAATGTATCAAAAACCTTGATCACCAAGACAGATGGACAACTGCCTGTCAGCAGTGAGACACATGTAGAGAGCACAAGGATTGCTGATGCCAGGTAGTGAGTTGGAACAAGAGTAGAACAATCCACCGTTGAAAGTGAATGGGAAGTTGCAGGATTTGCTCGGGGTCAGGAAGGTAATGGTCGCTTTTTTAAAATAATTAGTAAAATTTTAAGAAATAAATTACAATTATTAAAATCACATTTAAATATTTTAAGCTTGATTGTTCATTACTCGAAACAAACCAACAAACCAAAACTTTCAAATAGGAGAATACGAATGATCTTTAGCAGAGAGCAAAATAATTGTAATAAAAATTTTGATTTTAAGCAAAATGAAACATTTCATCTCACCTATTGCCAGTTGAGCTTCGTCATCCTGCATTTATAATTCAAAATATTTACAAAAATCAAAAATTTTCATATCAATATTTTTACGTGTGAAGAATTTATGATCAGAAGTTGATTTTTGCTGGAAAAAAAACAACAAACTACTAGCCTTATAACCCCGGCAATGAGTTTTATTCAGAACATTCTTGTAATGAATCTCGCAAGTGAAATGAAACAGTTGGCAATATTTAGCTGGATGACTAGCATTGTTGGATACGTAGTTGAATGCGTTGCAAGTGATGTTACCATCAGTGGGAGAAACATAATGAGAACATTTGGAAGAACATTCCAGTAAGGACCGCATGTTGGTTAGTACTGTGGAAGGTTCGGAAACAAAACACATGGGGTTGTCTGGCTCTCCCACCATTCCATACTTCTTATCAGCTGCTGCACCTGCTGATACTAACAAGTTGACTGATAAGGTCAAAGTAACAAAGGTTTGCAAAAATACAAACGAAATCATTTTAGAAAAAATTTAAAATTGTCGAAAGATTCTTCGAACTTAATTCAATTTTGACTACTTAATAGAAGGTTGTTTTGTTGTTAGCACAACACCGTAACGAGGCACGTCAACAATTCTTCCAACATAATCTATTTAAACTACACTTGCGAGCCACGTCATCGTCATATCTCCAGCCGCCATTGATTAGTTTCTTATGAATAATTGAACACCATCCTTGGAGACAGAGCTCGCTTCTTCAAGAAGTTGCTCATCTTCAAGTCACCTGACAAATCTCATATGCAGGACAGCGGTAATATAGTGAAAATAATAACTACATATATTTTTTTCTTCAAATTATATGGTATATTAACAGATATGTGTATGCCTCTCTTCCTTCTTCTCTTACTTTCATTCTCTCTCTCTCATTCTCTCTCTCTCTCTCTCTCTACGTATATACATTTTAAAATTTGTATTTATATATTGTACATATACAAATTCAAGTGTATTAAAATATGTATTTATGTGTGCATGTTCATGCAGGTGACAGCATAGTTAGAGGGCAGAGAGACCGGCTTCAACTGCATCCAGATTCACATTTATCCTATAAATGCGTTTGGTTTGATGCGTGCGTGTTAGTTTGCGCACGGCAAGTAGAGCACTGAGGTTGAAATAGTTACTTATCGCATTGGGACATAGTCATATTTTCCTGTTTCTTTCCAATGTGTTTGGATTTGTTGTCATAAATTAACTAAACACTTGAGATGTTTCAAATTTTTTAAAAATAGTACTTTGTATTAACGTTTGATTAGTTATTTGGTAAAAATTGTATCATTAAAATTTTAGGGTGCATGGGTATAAGTTTCTAGTGCATATAAATCGACAATAGATTAAAATTAAAAATTTTCAAAAAACTGAATTGAGATTAAATATAATAAAATCATAATTGCAAATTAGTTTTGCACTGCTTTTGACTAGAGTTACATGTTAAATTAACGCGCATGTTTAGGTGATTCAATTCAATTTGATCATCATTCTGCAGTAGGTCACAGGACTCCAATCAAATTTCGCCGTCCTGTACATGTACTTATCTCCATAGACTGCAAAAACGTTAGCAGTGTGGCAATAACTAAACCAGTTTCCAGAAAAGTGATCGTTACATCTATTACCGTGATCAGCAGTAGCAAATCCTATTCCATTTTGAAAATGCCCACCTTCTCCATCCTGATTTAAAACATCCCAGTTGTCACCGCTGTAGCCCAAAACATGAATTGCGTAATCGTTTGCTTCCGAGTCAAGCTAGAACATAAAACAATCGGAATTGACTGGAGGCTAAATTGATGAAATTAACTATGAATGTAGAAAGGAAATCTTACGCTAAAGCTGTCATATTCATCTGACATCCATGATCCATTAACGAGGACTTCGAATCTCAATCTGTAGTTGGCGGATTTGGTCAGTTGGTACACATTTTCAAGCCCTAACCAGAAATTAACGTTGTACGTTCCAAACCCCGCCTAGAAAATTATTATAATGATTGCAAATTTATAAGAAAATATTATCAAAAATTAATTATTTCCTCGTAACAAATTCAAATAATTATTTCAAATTAATTGCGACAGATTCTTAAAATCATTTGATTATTATTTCATATAAATATGTGGATATAATTTTGAAAAAGCTAATAAAAATTGAGACTTGTGCTACGAAAATAACCACATTACCTTGTAAGTTGTCCAGTTTTGATTAAAGCTCTGGTCGCCATTAACTCTTTGCACAATGACGATCCACCCGTTGACAGACAGAACTGTTGGGGGCAATACAGAATTTGGAATTGAGAGTTTGGTGGTTGTGTTGGTCGCAGTGAAATCTGTATTGGCGTTTGTGTGAAAATTTAATTTATTTGTGGTGATTAACGATGTAGGTGAGCTTATTTGCTTTAGGTAACTTTTTGGTTAAACGCTTTCACAAGATCTACATTTCTTACCTATTTTTACATCAATTTTTGATAGTTTAGCATAGTACAAGCTAGAGTAAAACGTACGTACCACGTACCACAGCCATTTATAAAACAAAAGTTCAAACTTTGACTAAGATCACTTAAAATTTTGTAAAATAATAAACAGTTTTTAACTGCGTACCGAACGGATTTTGGCAAATGGCTAAGATCCTGTTTTCAGTGATGCACATGGGAGATCCGTGAGAATTGCAAAATCCGGGCAGTTGGTTGGAGCAAGCATAGAACAATCCACCGTTGTATGTGAATGGGAAGTTGCATTTCGAACTGTTGATGTTGACATATAGAGGCTCTGTTTCAATGAAATGTTAGTATATAACATATTAAAACGGAATATAGGCCTGTTACGTATTAGCGCGTTGGTGTAATGGTTATGATGCCTGTTACTGATGTCGCGGTGACCGAGTTTGAATGCAAGCAGATTCCCGGCTATCACATGCAATGTTTCTGGTGGGTTAATGCTATTCAACCTTCTTTTTTGTTGCAGACTTTTCTGAAAAATTCAAAAGTAAAAAATAATAATTGTAATAACAAATTGGTACTTTATCAGGTAAACTTTATAATGAGTTATTGGATTTTGTAGAATAATTTGTAATATCATACTAACTCATAAGCTCCTTTGCATCAACATCCTATGATACGAACAAAATCTTTCATTATTAAAATTATGAAATAATTGAAAATAAATAAAAAAAAAATAGGCTGAAAATAATATTAATTGATCAAAATAGAACAAAACGAAATAAAATATTGACAAAAAATCCATCAAAACTAGTAACCTCAAAGCCAACACAATGACTTCTTCTATAAGTTTTCTCACACAGGTACCCAAACAACTGACACGTCTTATTATTCTTATGGCCGGCATCAACAATCAAATTAAACTCCGTACAAACATTACTGCTATTATATTTCCCAAAATTAAATTGCGAGCATCTGAGTGAACACTCAACGAGTGATCGGATGTTGTTGAGTTCCTGGATGAGCCCAGTCGTGAAGCAGATGGAATTGCCACTTGCATCCTTATGGGAATGGTAATTTTTGTCTGGTAGGCTCACCAGCGAAGTTGAAAATGCGGGTGATATTGTTAGCAAAAAAATTATCACAAAAATATACATTGTTTTGTTATTTTAAGTTTTTATGAAATAAAATTTTCGAGTAGATGATTTTGCTCTAAAATTTTTTCGACGGGTTAATCTTTAGAGATTAAATTAGTCATTTTTTTGTTGGTTAGATGATCTCATTAAATTTAAATGAGAATTTTGTATAAATATTTTCACACTAAAATTAAATAAAAATCTCTCAGGTCTCAACAATCTAGTTAACAGTTTTTGCACCACAATTAGGGTTTACCCGTATATGCCTTTTATTATATTGCCAGCACCAGATGACACATTCATGATTTGATGTTAAAAATACTGTGATATGCGCACTGAAGTAAGTACATTTCATTCATATACAATCCCCCAAACAAATCATCATTCTCTTAATTGAATATTACAATGGAAAAATGCGATTAAGTTTTGGCAACATTTATAAGAATAGTTAAATAAAAACTATTTTGAGTGACAACTTATTCATAATTTAATCTGCACTCTATTTAATGCACTATATACAATGCATGTTTTTTGTTAATGTTCATTCTGTTGTCAAATCTTAAAAAATGAAATGCATTAATTACAGTTTCTCGAGAATTACAAAAATGTCATTTGTTTTTGAATGGTTGCCAATCAATCAACCAAATAGAATTAAGCAAACCAGAAAGAAATGATTTATAATAGAATTATGTTGAAATTTTTAATTATGCAATTAAAAGCTTTCCATTGTACATGAAATAATGAAGGCAGTGTTGATTGAAGGCTGGAAAAGTTGGATTTTTATCCATTAGCCACCACACAAATTAAGAATATTGTGAGATTCAGAAAAGCCATTTTACGTTTTGTATATATTTGTATATTTTTTTAAAATCAAATCAATCACTGCACAAATCTGCAAATACACGTTGTATATTTTCACACACACACACACACAAACACACAAACACCACACAAACACACACACACGTCCAAATATTTGTTTTGGTTTGTATCATTATATCATGCAGTTCGGGACTGACATACTCGCGTCATTCCGTAATTATAGTTGAACTTCCGTGCCGAAAAGGCTCTAACATCCACACTACACGACGTACATTCACGCCACAAAATTCACACCACACGAATACACACATATATACACACCGCGTGCGATCGATGGATGGAGCTTCTACCATCTGAGCTAACTCGCCGACCAAACACAGTGAAATGCAAATAAATGAATGAAACAAATCTTCATTCTATAATTTGTCCTTGTGTTTTTTTTATAAAAGAATTCTTTCATTGTTGTTATTAAATCGCGCATGTGATTTATTTACTTGTCAATCTACTGAGTGAATCTAAGCGGACTAGACGCACGAATAGAGAAGTTATTTTTAGCTGTGGGTGGCAATCTTTCGATTTTTTTTCATTTCAACCTTATTATTCATTACCATTGCTAGAAGGCTTGACTGATTCAAATAACCATTACGGTATATGTGAGAGAATACTTTTAAAAGCTAGTTACTAGCATTATTTGTTGTTGTGCGAAAATGTGTGCGTGTATATGTGTATGTGTGTTTGTGTACGTATACGTGTGGTTATACGTTGCGTAGGTATTGGCGTGTTTGCCTTACTCGCGCTGGCATTAACGTTGACTGCTGATTTCATTATTTGACTGGCTTTCCTCCCTATGTGTATTAAATATTTATAAAATCTTTTTTAATTTACAGATTTATTTAATAAAAAATAAATATTTACTTTGAAAATTTTATTCATAATTTTCAACCAAAGTTCGAAAAATCACATTTTAGCTACAAAGTTTTAGTTTTAAAATTCAAACATTTTCAAAAGAATATTGTAGATGCGTTAGCGGGGAGTGCACATTTATAAAAATAAAAACCAGTTTGGCTTTCGAAAAGTATATAGGAAGCATTCTCAAGAAATAAAATGAATAAAATAGAAATCATTCATTTTCAAAGGGATTTTAGTAAAGATTGATCAACACCAAGAACACCTAAGCTAACTTAATCATCATTCTACAATGGGTCATTGACGTCCATTTGCCAGCCCTGGCGGTGTAATACAAATCACCGCTACCATAGACTCCATTCAAATTTTGGCCATGACATTTGTTGAACCAATTTCCTGAATTTTTTGCACATCCGTTTGAGTCCGGTTTGTCTGGAGTATAAAATTGCTTATCCTTTTGGGAGTATATCCCGCCATTTATCGTCAAATCTAAAATATCTATGTTATCACGGATGTAGTTATTAACGTGTATCGCGTAATTTTTGCTTTCGTCGTCAATCTACAAGAAAGTTATTAAAAATAATTAATAAATAGTTAATTATAGTTGTTTAAAATATTATAAATAATAATTAAATTATTATTAATCATTAGAAAGTTTATTTTATTTAGAAAATGCTTTCGACAGTTCAATGAGTTTTAAGTATTAATGTTGAATGCAGTTGGTTTAATTAGTTTGTTTATTTTGTGCGTGCTTATGTTTATGTGTGTGTGTGTGTGTGTGTGTGTGTGTGTGTGTGTGTGTGTGTGTGTGTGTGTGTGTGTGAAAACACAAACGAAATTCTACCTTGAAACTGTCATACTCATCCGACAACCAATAGCCATCGACAAGAACTTCAAATCTCAATCTATAATTGTTTGAGTTGGTCAGTTGGTAGATTTGATTCAATCCCAGCCAAAAGTTGGCATTGAACATTCCAAAACCTGCCTGTCATTGTCGATATAAACGTTATCTTCATGTAAATTTGTTCTACCAGTAAACTTTCAGTCAGGTTTTTTCAAGATAAATGTACCACTTTAAATAAATGAACATCATATTTTGGAATGTTGAAAATTTCGAAACATTTGGATGCTAAAAATAGTGATGTTTTATGATTTTAAAATATTTTAACTAACTTTGTAACTTGCCCAACTTTTGTTGAAACTCAACGAGCCATCAATTCTTTGTTGAATGACTAGCCATCCATTGACAGATATGACAGTTGTTTGGGGCGAGATAGGCAATGTTGATGTGGTATTTGTTGCATTAAAACCTGAAATCAGTTAATCAACATTCAATCAACGCGTTTATATTGTAATTTCGAAGGTAAAATCAGTATTATAAACTAAAAAATGGCAGATCCACAATTATTTTAGGTAGTGAAATGATTTTTGGGGTTTTTGTGGCTTCTTCTTCATTCAAAATTCTTTTACAAAAAAATTTTGATTTTGGCGAGATGGCTAAAATACATCACCGTAACTGCACACTAAAACTGAAAATTTTTAATTCTAAAAATACTAACTAAGACGAAAAAATTAGTCACAAGTTTTTAAATATTTTATATTTTCATGGCTAGGTGGGGGAAACATGGACCTTACCACGCATACGTCATTAACCTTCGGGGCCGGTCACTCTAAATGCATACCTGAGGGATTGGAGCAAATTGACAAATCTTTCCTATTAGCAATACAAAAGTATTGGCCTGAGGGATTGCACAATCCGGGCAGCTCCTTAGAACAGCTGTAGAACAAGCCGCCATTGTACGTGAACGGGAGCTCGCACTTTGAGCTGTCAACTGTTTTGTAGCTAACTCCTGTACGGAATGGAAATATGTTTCTTACAAAATTATCATTTGAATTTTTGAAAAATAGAAAGTTCTTTATAAATAAAATTGTTATTTATTTTTTAATTTATTACCAGTGTTTTGGCAAGTTGCAGTCGAAATACCCGTGGAAGTACCCGTGGATGTACCCGTGGAAATATCTGTAACGCCTGAAATTGAGGGATTGGTGGCATTGCTGGTCTGGACAGGAGTTGTTGCGTTAGCAGCCACATTTGCAGTAACTTTTTTTGGTTCAATTTTTAATTTCGTTTTTTATGAAAATTATTTTGTTTTTTTTTTCATTGGCGTTCTAAATAAGTTAAGTGAAAGAAAAAACAACAACGAAATCGTGTTGCGAAATATAAAATTTTTCATTACAAACTGCATACTTCAAAATGATTGAAACTTACTAACTTGAAAATTGTTTCCATTCAACATCCTAAAATGAAGCATGTTATCATTTAGAATATCGATAAATTATTCTCAATTCATCAAAAGATTAATTTTTGTTCAACTCTTTCTAAAAACATTTAAAATTTAAGAAAAATAACTACAAAATTGGAAACTCAAATAAAAGTTCTACTCATTATCTACCTTGTATCCCGAGCAAATATCCTTATTATAAAAGTTCACCAAAATGGAGCTATCCCATTTTTCACCAACCAATTTGCAAACTTTAAATCTAGTATCCTTATTCACGATGTAATTAAAACCAATACAAGGGTTAGTATGAGCATTTTCGGAAATATTGTAAAGCGAACATTTGATTGAGCATTCAATTAAGGATCTGATCTTTGAAGTTTCCTCTATGATTCCAGTTGCAAAGCAGACTGAGTAGCCATTGTTGTCATTATAACGTTTGTACTTTTTGGTGAGTGAGTTAATCACCAGCAATGATGAAAATGATGATAAGATGGATGACAGTGCAACAGTAAAAGTAATTATGTTGATATGCAGTGGATACATTTTCAAAAATGATATCAAATATTTGATAGGATACAGGATAACTTGGATTTAAGCAAGTGTAGAACTTACAACTGGATACCTATATGCCTGGCAGCTCGTTATCTGTGATATTCATTAAAGAAATAATAAATTCATCCGTACGCATTTTTTTTCCAAGAAAAAATACTAACAGAATTTACAAAACTATGGCTATACAAATCCGAAAAAAAAAACAGAAAAACCAACTGACTTCTTCATTCAGTCAGCGAGATTTATTCCACAAAGACATTAGTGACGGTGAATTAGTCATCTGGTAGACAATGGTGGCAAAGAAATTAATTGATTCCATTGTACAAGTAAATTATCTACCATTGTCTGCCAGCCCACTTAACTACTTCTCCAACAGATACATCTCTCGTTACTCAATGCAATTTCTTTCTTTCTCTCTTCTCTCTCCCTTTCTTTTTCTCTCTCTTTTTCTCACTCTTTCTCTCTCTATATATTAAAAATATAAATTAATATAAATAAATAATGGGCTTAAATGTAAGTTATATAAGATATCTGTCTGCTGGGCAATGTACATTTTTTTCTAAATTTTTTCTTTTTCATATATTTTTATTTCAAGTGCAGGTAAAGTAGATTCAAGGTGATTCTAGCTGTTTATTTTTTCAAATTTTTACTTCACAAAAGTGGACGTTGAAAAAATTTTATAAAAAAAAAAAATTGTACCAGGTCAGCTATGTTCAATAAAATTTGATAGATAGACATTCAAAAAATTACAAGTGTCCTGTCCATAGTAGTCATTAGAAACAAGGTTTCAAGTTTACGAAACAATGAAAAAGCAAGCAAATATACACATACTTAGGCATGCATCCACATGCCTAAGTATGTGTATGTTTTGTGTGCGTGTTTTTGTGTGTGTGTGTTGTGTGTTTCCATGTTTCTCCTTTCCACACGTGAATTGATAACACTCCTTTGTTGATATGCCTGCAAGTGATTTTAATTCAATTAGATTTTCATTGCAAATAATATTCGATGAAGTTTGGTGTTGGAGATAATTTCAGTAATAAAATAAAATAACAAAGAATAGAATAATAGAAATTATATCATGTAATATTAACTAATTAATAAATTGATTAATTAAAATGATAACCGCTTATTTGTTACTTTGGTTTTTAATATTCATTAATTGCACAACATCCTAATGTATTTTCGTGTCGTTCTGTTTTTTTTGGGTCCTTCACTTCTTTCAACTATTGTAAATAATCTTCAGCTTATAATTTTATCTATTAAGCCGATTTAACTGTACTAATTAAAATGTCAAATAATTAAATTATTAATTAATTAAATTGATTTTGACGCTTTAACAGAAAAAAGGATAACATTAATTAACTGACGCCAACGACATCAGTAAAAGACATCAGCTGCAAAAACAAAATCTTCAAAAAGTTTCACCAACAACTACTACGACATCAAGAACGTCAACTCTCAAAAATAAAATCTTCAAAGAGTTTCAAACCACCATAACCATCACCAGTAGTACAGCCATGACAGCAGTCGAAGTGCGGGATTATTTTCTAAGTCCCAGAGTTTTTATGTCCTTCTCGGTTCTATCCATACTTTTATCATTCTGGCTGACCCGGAATTACCTGGAACATCGGGGAGAAGCCGACGAAGCAATTGCTGCAGCGTTTATGGCAATATATGCTGTGATTTTAATAGCCTTGCTGATCTTCATGACTTTTCCAGAAGGGTTTGATTATTTTGGAGTCTTTTTTTAAAAATGGGAAGAGGAGGAGGTGGAAAGGTTTTATGGATTTCCTTCATGACTTTTCCAGAAGCGTTTGATTATTTTGGAGTTTTTTTTTAAATAGGATGAGGAAGAGGAGGAAAGGTTTTAAGGATTTCCTCCCTTCTAAGTGGATGCTGATTTGGACGGATATATGTTTAAAATTTTCGTGTTGATTTTTGCTTATATGGTGTGTTTATCGTTTGAAAATCGTTTGATAATGTTTTTAAATTAATTTTCGTTTATCATTTGATGTACCTACCTATATTTTAAATTACTCCTAGATTGGTATTTAAAATGTTTAAAATTCTCAGTATCTACCAACAATTTCGAGATTTTAATAAAGCAAGAAAGATACATAGCTGCTTTGCTTTTATTTGATATCAAATCATAATGGCTAAATCAACATACCAGACAGAAATTATTTATACATGCATATGTATAAAGTAAATCAAGAAATACCAAAAATTATATAACCAAAATAAAAAAAAATCTAGAAACCAGTCAACATTTCGGGTTAATACAGTTCAAATGACGTCATTTCCTCCAACGACAAAAAAAGAAATTCCGATTGACTTGTTTGATCTGCTATATTTGATATGTTTCTGTATAATGATTAGCAGTAACGCTATGTTTTGGTAGAATGTGATTATATATGCGCTTGAT